ATTACAGCCATACACTGTGTCCTAGCTCAAATCTTTGGAGCACCTCTTCTTCCTTGGAGCCAGGTCAGGGCTGTGCCCTAGCTCCCACAGCTACAACCTGGCCCCCGGGTGCAAGTTACTAAAGGATGTCACAGAGCCACAGATCTTGGCACTATGGGCAACCTTCATATAACCCTGCCCCAGAGAGGAAGAGCAGGTGACATAATAGAATCACAAGGCACTGAGCCTAAGACTCCAGCCCCACAGTTGCTCCAAGCACCTGTACCTGGAACCCAGCACTGTGGCAGGTGCTTTAGGCCGTGTCAGATCTGATACCAAGAGGAATCCCCTTGGCTAAGTCTTACCATTGTGGGGAAAATGAAAATAGGAGGGCCCCAAAAGCCATTACCCTCAAGGACATTAACAACCTACACCACTGCTGTCACTACCACAAATTTCTAGAGTGTAAGCCACTGAGGTGCCCACAGTTACTGTTGACATTGAACAGAGCTGAAGAAGCTGCACAGAGACTATACCACTGCACCTACCTGGAAACAGTAACCACTTCCTTCCCAACCAGCACACTAAGACCAAACTGCAGGTGAAAGTCTTCCTCTATGAAAGCCACTCTAGAAAGTTTGGAAGAGGTGACTGTTCTACAAGATGCACAAACATCAGTGCAAAGACACAAGAAACATGAAAAGGCAAGTTAATATGACCACCAAAGGAACACAGTAACTCCATATTAACAGACACCAATGAAAAAGGAAATCAGTGAATTGCCAAAAAAGGAATTCAAAATAATGCTCTTAAGGAAACTCGATGAAATACAAGAAAATACAGATAGACAATTCAACAAAATCAGAAAAACAATTCACGATATGAATGAGAAATTTTAAAAAGAATCAAACAGAAATCCTATAGCTTAAGAATTCAGTAAATGAAATAAAAAAATACAATTAAAGAGCTTTAATAGCAGACTTCATCAAGCAGAAGAAAGAATCTCTGAACTTAAAGATAGGTCATTTGAAAATACTGAGTTAAAG